AAACCAAGTCTGGATTACACAGAGCAGTTACAATGACCATCCTTCATGGTACGTGACAGACACTGAGATAGAAGACAAAAACAAATGAATAACTATAGGTGGTAAAGTGGGGAAAAGGGGAAAGACTTTATTTTATGACTTAACCTAAGACCAACTTTTAAATGCTTAGAAACTCAGACCACCACTGGTGATTCAATAGATAGACTTAATAATCAATTATATTATACCCAAGAACAACTTTTAATTTCTCAGAAACATAAGGATATATAAATTCTGTTGGCAACCATTGCTATGTCTAATATTCAGAGAAAAAAATTAGACTTTATTTGACTTTACTAAATCCAGTTAATTAAGCTACAACAAAAAATTTCAGATAAAATACTAAATCTAGGCACTATGGTTACATGTGAAGCAGAACTAAAATCAGTGGTAAATTTGGGGTAAGATGCTGACATCAAATTAAGCACTGTTACTTCTTTCTATTTTTGCATTCCCTACTGAGAGAAATAGTATTGCCTAAGGTTAAACAGAAACATCAGAGTGTAGCATACAAATCCAGACCTGTTCAACTTAAGAGGCCTGTACTTCTTATATTAAACCACAATGACAAAGACTGTAACGTCATAAGCTGAACAACAATGTCTAATGTTAAAAAATCAAAATTTTCAAGATTAATAAGTTATTTATAATTTTGGTTACTTTAGTACTTAGTAAATTATATACTAACAAAGAAAAATAGAAAATTGAATCTAAAAGTTTACATATTCTTTAGGAAGCTTGAAATGCAAAGTAATTATGCCACTCCTCTAATCTCAAAAGGCTGTGAAAGTTTCAGTTATGCAAGGTAAATAAGTTCTAGAGATTCACTATACTGCACAGTGCCTACAGTTAGCAAAACCATATTGTATACTCAAAATTTGCTACAAAGGTAGATTTTACGTTAACCAGTCCTACCATACGCACACACACAAAAGGATAATAAAAGTGGCAGGAGGAAACTTTGGGAGGCGATGCATCTATGCTCTTGATGATGGTGATGATTTCATAGGTGTATACTCATCTCGAGACTCTTCAAGTTGTAGGTATTAGATATGCACAGCCTTTTACCTGTCAATCATACCTCAGAAAAGTGGTTTAAAAAAAATGGCTGTAATATAATGTAGCAACCAATAAAATTTAACGCGCTTCAGAAAACAAAGCAAAATTTGAACTTTTAGGAGAAAATATAAGAGAAAATTTTTGTGATTTGAGGGAAAGACAAATTTCTCAATCAAGGCGTAAAACAGAAGGGAGGTAGACAAGGGTAAAGGGGGTCAAATATATAGTGATGGAAGGAGATACAACTTTGGGCGGTGAACATGCAATGCAATATACATGTGATGCATTATAGAACTGTACACTTGAAACCCATAATTTTATTAACCAATTCACTCCAATAAATTTAATAAAAATAAATATCTCCAGGCTGGCATTGCCCAAATGTGTATCCCCAGTCCAGACCTGGATCCTAAACCCTAGATGCTTTAATCCAATAATCTGAGTGATATTTCGTAGTGGATGTTGTGCTGGGTCTCTTCCATTTGCTACTCCAGATTCAGCTTTCACCCTTTCCCTCCCTATTCTGCCCTAAGAGGTTGATCTGCCTGTTGATAGCAACAGGCTTCCCATGCTTTCTGGCCTCTGGTAGGCTAGGCTTATAGTATGCCCTGGAGGAAAAAAAGAGTTTAAGACCAGAGTATTTATTCCTGTTTCTCTCCCTGTGGCATTACCTTTGCTGGCTAGATCTCCTGACCAAAGGTGATTCATCCTCTCAAGGTAAACTGCACTAGATGAACCTCTCCTTCAGCATTCTGGTAACTAGTGGTGGTAACATCTCTGCTGCTACCTGCCCGCCCAATACTGTACTAACTGTTTCCCTATATGCTGCCCACACCTTTATAAATGATTCCTTTGTTAAAACTTCCTTCTAATTATACTGAGTGTGCCATCTATTTCCGACAGAACTCTGACTAATCCTGATGTCTAACTGGCATCTCAATTTTAACACATGCAAAACTGAGCACCTCCAATAGTTTTTATCCATCTCAACTGATGGCAACCCACTTCTTCTAGCTGTTTAAACCAAAAATCTGGTGTCATCCCTCTACATCTTTTTATTTCATTCCCCATATTCACAAGTCCTATGTGCAATTCCCTCGAAACAGATCCAGAATCTAACCATGTTTCACCACCTCCACCACTACCACCCTGGCCACAGCCACCATCAACGCTTGTCTGGACTGTTGTAATAGCTCAGCTGGTCTACCTGCTCCCTCCCTCACCTATATTCAGGTTACTCCAAAACAGCAGCCAGAGTGATCCTGTTAAAATACGAATTAGCTATATCACTCTTCTCTTCAAAACCCTGCAGTGGCTGCTCATCTCAGAGATCTCAAAGTCTTTGAACTTGCTATTTCCTTTGCCTAGAACATTCTTCCCACAGATAGCCTCAATGTTTGCTCCCTCACTTTCCTCAGGTCTTTATTCAAAATGTCATCTTCTCAGTAAGACTTCTTGTCCACTCTTTCTAAAATTGTAACAGCCCCTCCCCACTTTATTTCTATCCTGAGCAATTATCACACCTCATAGACATTCCTTTTCTTTCCTTTATTGTGTGTCTCCAGCCTCTAGAATGCTAACTCCTTGGCACAGGAGTTTTTGTCTGTTCTGTTCACTGCCACATGCTCAGCCTTCAAAACAGTATGTGGAAATAGGGAGTGCTCAAATAATCATTAAAACCACAGCTAGATACCAATCAGATGGACACAATCAAAAAGTCTAACAATAGTACATATTGGCAAAGATAGTGAACACTAGGAATTCTAGCTCATCTCCACTTTGGAGAGCAATCTGGCAAAATCTCGAAAAGTTTATGACATGCACATCTAACAAACTAGCAATACCCTTTCCCTGGTTTCTATATTTACTTACACAAACAAGGACAGTATACTAAAAATAAGAATCATACCAAGGAGTACAGTCAGCCTATCTAGAGGATATTCATGATATTTTATAATCAGAGAATGAACTCCACCTCTCAAAAGTAGACCAATATAGCCCCACTCTAACACATATTAAGAAAGCACATGCTTTCTTCTCAGGCTTATGCTGTGGTGAAAATAAAATGGTAAATCAGCTGCAGAGAGGATAAGAAATGTAAGCACATATCAAAAGATGTGACGGGTGTGATCTCCTAAGAAATCAATCACAAATAAACAAGTCACTTAAGAAATCAGTAAGCAAGAGACTAAAAAACAAACCCCCAAAAAAACGTATGGGGCCCAAACCATGACAGGTTTTAAGTTATAAATAAATGGCTAAAAGAACCAAAATCATAAGCCAATGCACATAACTGCTGGGTTAGACTAGAATTTTAAATCGCCTTCAAACACTTATGCAGTATCTTTCATTGCCTGAGACTGTCCTAGTAACTGATCACACAAATGAGTCAATTAAATTCACAGGTAGTCCACATGTTAATTTTATTGCACTACTTCACAACTTCCCCCCCCACCCCGAAATCTTTTAGAACAGCTGACAAAAATTAAAGCTAATAAGCCCACATTTTACCTCTCCTAGATTGAATAAAAGGCTTTTAAATCCATAATTGGTCAAAATGAAGGAAATAAGGGGAAACTACTCACTTGACTGGCAAAAAGATGAGTCACCAGTTGGATGCCATCGGCAAACCTCTACCTAAGGTTGTTAAGCTGTGTGTCACATAGAATGTGGCACCAGACTGAATCTGCTCTTCTGACTCACACTCTACTACTCGTTCCACTTACCTCTTTCCTTCCAATTATTACCTTAGAAGAGAATTCATCACTACATGATTCTTAGTCTGGTAAAGACACTCAAAAATACAGGCAGATGAGCGGTGGGGAAAGAAACATAGAACTCAAAAGCAACATAGAAGTTGGGGGGAAGAGGGAGTTCAAAACAAACTGAAAAGATTTTTTCATTTTGCCTCATTGCTTCTCACATCTTTATCCTTTAAATATTTTTTAATCTGGCAATTGTTTTATTGAAGTAATTGTAGATTCACATATTTGGCCAATTTCCCCCAATGATAACATTTTACAAAACTATAGTATAATATCACAACCAAGATATGGACATATTGACACGGACACAATTCACCAATCTTATTCAGACTTCCCCAGTTTTATTTGTACTCACTCATGTGTGTAAGTTCTACATTTTTATCATTTGCATAGGTTTGTGTACCCACCACAATCAAGATATTGATCAGCACCAGCACCACAAGGCTCGATGGTGCTCTTTTACAACCACATCCGGCCCCTACTCTCCCATCCCTAACCCTTGAAAACCACTAGTCAGTCCTCTATTCATCCTTTAAATTCTTACGCCATACCCAATAGGAAGGAGCCATCTATATAACCAGCCCTGCTCCATTATTTCCTGCAACTACTCTCCAGTTTCAAATTATTGCACATTGCCCAATATGAAGATCTTAATAAACAGTCCAAAAACAAAATAAGTTTTGGTGTACAGATGCATATGTCTCTAAATATGTGCATATCCACTAATATGCACTTCTTTGCTATAAGGGAAAAAGGAACATATATTCTAGAAACTCCATGAAGTTCAATATAAACATAAGTGCCCATTCCTCTAAAATCAAAACACTGCTGTTTCTCAGACTGCCCACTTAAGAGGGGCATAGTTCAGCATTTTTCATTTATACAAAGCCTTTTATCTATTTCGACCACTACTTAAGCCACTCTACATCAGCACATGGAAACCCTGACTTCCACTTAATGAAATGTCATTTTTTTCCTTGCTAACCATTAGACACACTGTCCTTTATTTGGATTTAAAATCCAAAGGACTAATGATGAATTGCTAGTTACTAAAATGCAATTTAAAAAGGAACATAAATAAAATGTCTGTGCAACTTTCATAGCACTAACCAGTATGCAAGCAATTGGAATGCATACCTGCAGAGCTGAGAAGAACACTGAAATCTGTCCCCCTCTGTGATTCTCCACTTTCATTATCGACCTCTTTTTCAGTATCTTGATATCGATCCCAGTTAGAGACTATCTTTCTTTTAGAATAATTTCCCTGTTCTTCATTCTCTTCTCCATAGGTCTCTGCATCACTGTCATCTTCAACCTGCAATCATCAGAGACAAATCAATAAGCAGCTAATGTAAATCTTGACTTTAGTAGCCTTAGCAGTAAAATAAAATCAGAAAAATAGTATGTAGGTATCACAATAAATAGCATACCTATAGACCAAGCTCTTTGAAGATATTAAATATTTCAGGATAACCTTATATACCAGAGTGTACTTTCAGAGTAAACTTTTCATTTAGCTTTGAAAAAAGAAATCTGGCAAGTTCCTACCCCAAAATGTGTGTAACTGATATTTCTAAAGTCTACTCCCAGTGTATCCTATTTGAGTAATTGTTTCCTCTTATTGAAATAATCAAGAAGGTAAGTCTTAAACTCAAAGGACCTTAGAATGAAAGTCAACTCTTTCGATTTACAAATTTTGCAAACACACTTCATAAATGTTATAAGCTTTAAATGAGAACTCTGCTGAAATGCATCCTAGAGAACAGTTTCCAGTCTTAGGCATTAAAAGGTCAAGAAAACATGCAGAAAATTGAAGAATGTGAGAAATAACAAAAGGGCATAATTTCTTCAATAACTGAAAAAGGGAAAAATGGTGGAGGAAAAGGAAGAAACCTATAGATAAGAAGAGCTTAATGGACATAACCAGTGGTGATATTGGGAATTTATCTGTACTGATTCAAATAATATAACTAGAGAAAATCACTTATGAGACAAATGGAAAAATGTGAGCAAAGACTGAATATTTGATTATATTAAGGATATTATTTTATTTGTTTACTGTTTGGTATGACATCAGTATTGTGTTTATTTTGTATGTTTTTACCTTTTAGAAATAAATATTAAGATATTTATGGATGAAAGATACGACATGTGGGATTTGTATCAAAATAATGAGTGGAGAGAAATGGTGGGTAGATGTGAAATAAACAGCACAACTGATAATCTCTGAAACTGGATGATGGGCACATGAAAATTCATAATATTATTCCATCTACTTTTATATGTGTTTAACATTTAAATTTAAAAAGAGATGCATATAGAATTTAAAGACAGTTCAAAAAAGTATCCCAAAAATCATAAAATCTTTATCAAGAAAAAAACTTATGAAATATATTAAAACAACCCATCTGTACAGGATGGGTTGGGATAGCCCTTTTTTAAAGTTTTTATTAACACAGAAACAGAACATGTGCACTGCAGAAAATTAGGATGAATAAGCAAAAACTAAATGAAAATCCCATATTCCCATCACCTGAAAGTACCATTACTAACATTTTAGTGCATATGCTTCTAGATTTTTTTCTATCTATATATTTTTATATACATATTTGGTAAGCAGATTTCTCATCAATATTCTCCACTTCTCCTTTTCAATAAATTTCATTTCATATAATGTCTAGACTCTCCAAATTTCCCTGACGCCAAAATTTTCCTTTACAGCTGGTCTGCCCAAGCCTACCCAAGACCGTGCATTATATCACATTGTTTGCCCCTGAAGTCTCTTTGAGTCTAGCACAATCTCTATTTTTATGACACCGATTTACTGAAGAGACCAGTACAGGGAGAATGTAGAAGGACTCATCTTCTGTCCAGCTGCTTCCTTGTGGTATTTGTTTATAGATTAGTTTACAAGCAATATCAGATTTAAAAAATCTAAAAAATCTAAATGCCCAATGGAGTCAAATTAAATCTTTTTTGACTAAAATACAACACAGATGGTGCTCTAAATCTTTTGTTACTTCATCACGTCTAAGGACAGATAAATGGCTGAGCCAACATAAATAAGTAATGCTAACATTAACCAACGAGTTTGGGTGATGAAGACAGACCCGCCCACTATACAGATATGTCTATCCTCCTTACATCTAGGACCTTGTCTGTATAGTGTTATTTTGGTCCACTACAGATTTCTAGTTCCCCATCAGCTGTTCACCCAACAGATTTAAAACTAGTCACTAATCCTCACCTGAATCAAATTTCACAAGTTTTCATCAAACGGAGGGAGTAACTGACCTTTCGAGATCACTCTCAGCCTTCAAGTATCATGAGCCTCCTTGACAACACAGACACAAAATGACAATCTACATTATAATCTAGGCATTGCAAAGATTGCCTGGAACCTAGAGGTTTCCTGCCATTCCTAAAAGATTCTCAGAACGAAAAGATGCTAGCAGATTAAAGGTATGTGACTAAATGAGATCTGCTATATAAATTTTAAAAGGGACATGCTTTAAAAAAAAAGAGACATGCTAAGGAAAATAGCTTTGTAACTAATAAGAATTTAGGGGCTAGAATTAGAGTCAAAAATAGTAGCAGGGTTTAACCTGGGAAAATCCAATATCCTTTTGTTGGCCCACTGGGTCATCAGAGTTCAGAGAGACTTCTCCAGTTTGTATAAAACTTCTAAACATAGCTATAACACATGACAAAAATGTAAACCTGGGCAAAATAATTAGCTTGGTATGAAAAAGGATTATGATCTGAAACACCTGAGGAACTATTAACTCAATGAAACAAGCACTGACATGGGAGGCAGGAGACCTAGATAGAATGACCCTGTCATCACCATCATTTAATATTTACGAAGTGCTTATAATAGGCTGGGCTTCACACAGGTGAATACTCATTAATACCCAACTTAGAAAAAACACTGAACAAAGATCTCATTACTCCCATCAAGTGCAGAAAGAAAGGGAGTTGTCATTAGCTCCATCACAAGAGCGTAGTGAGAAGTAAATTTAGAAGACACTTACGTAACTCAGAGAAAAGTATATCTTACAAACTCATAATGACTTTATGTTTGCTTCATTTTGCAAAGATCTGGGACAAAATAAAATATGCAAAGTCCCAAGATGGAGAGAAAGAACAGAATAAATAATACTGATGAATATTTGTAAAAACTAAATATACATTTTATTATGTAACAACATCATTACAAAATTAGTCTGGTGTACATTGAAAACTATAAGACACTGATGAAAGAAACTGAAGATACAAGCAGAAAAATAATTCTGTGCTCATGGATTGGAGTAATTAATATTATTTAATATCCATATTCCTCAAAGCAATCTTCAGATTCAATGCAATCTCTATCAAAATTCCAAAGACATTTTTCAAAGAAATAGAATAAGCCATCTTCAAATATGTATGGAACCACAAAAGACTCCTAATAGCCAAAGCAATCTTGAGAAAGAACAAAGCTGGAGGCATCATGCTTTCTGACATCAAACTATATTACAAAGCTATAGTAACCAAAACAATGATAACAGCATAAAAATAGATACATAAATCAATGAAACAGAATAGAGCCCAGAAATAAACCCACACATATATGGTCAATTAATTTATGACAAAGGAGCCATGAATTTACAATGGAGAAGGACAGTCTTTCAATAAACTCAAAATGAATTAAAGATCTGAACATAAAACCTAAAACCAAAAAACTCCTAGAAGAAAACAGAGCTAGAAAGCAACTTAACATCAGTTTTGGCAATGTTTTGGAACTGACACCAAAAGCAAAGGAAACAAAAGCAAAAATACACAGGTCAGACTACGTCAAACTAAAAATCTTATGTGCAGCAAAGGAAACCATCAACAAAATGAAAAAGCAACCTAAAAAACAGGAGAAAATACTTGTAAATCATATATCTAATACGACCTCTCCCCCCATAACAGATTTTAAAAGCAATTGTATAAAACAATGTACATAATTATGCTTCTATGTTACAAGCCCAACAATACATTCGCTAAACAGCTCAAAAGAGGTGGGTAGGAACAAAAGTGTATTGGACTAAGGAAATGACTCCATATGGGAATTCAAATACACAGAAACAAATGAACAAAACTAAAAATAGGAAATAAGCCTAAAAAAGCTGTATGTATATGCTTATACTTCTTGCAGTCTTTAAAAGATTTAAATTATATAAAGCACTAATTATAACAATGCATTGTCAGTTTTATAACATACAGATGTAATATGTATAACAATAATACCATAAAAAT